AAGTGGCTATGACTAACCTTGTTGTTGAGTGTCGATGGAAGCAGAAGACATTCATTCAGCTGTTAACTGCTTTCACCCTAAAGGCACTAGGGCTTCACAAGCACGCCCACTGGCCTTACATACAATGTTAGACCACTTATTTAACAACAGCATCTTCCGGTGTGGAACATTTGGTGTAGTTGCTGCAAATATCATTTTGCTGCCAGGGGAATTTTAAGTGTCTTTTATCTATGCACCTGGCTTAGATGCACACTTTATTTTTTACAACACTAAGGAGAAGGTAGGCCTATAGTACTTTAATGTGAACACTTTTACTTGCTAGAATGCTAGGCAGTTTTAAATGCAGGTTATGTGCTTTGTTGAATAATGCAGAAGCAGACAATAAAAGTGGATTAGATGTTAAAAGAATACTGTGACAGTATAACTAGTTTGAATTTAAATCTGATAAATATCTGTCCCTTTCTTGAACTTTTTGTTGTACTTACAACCTCCAAACAGTAGAATAAAGCTGCTCTTTGACCAGTCAAAAGCTCTAAAGTCAAACAGGAGTTCAAGTCGTAGAAGGTAAACATGATACAAGTCATATAAATAGTTGAAAAACATTTTCTGACAGAAAGTTTCCCAACACTGTGTTTTTGTTTTTGTTATTGGCCAAAACTGCAATATTGAGTAATCACTGATTATTATAGGAATTTAGATATTTGTTTTTCATTCAGGCATCTGCTTCCACTGTACTGTTACAACACACACGGCACAGATTCTTCCCCTTTTGTCTCCTACACATTTTTTAAGATTAAAAATAATTTATTTAATTCTTTCTGTTAGCCTCTAATGCAGCCAGTTGGTATTCCTCCACTACTGCAGCTGTTGCATCTGTGTCTATTTTAGTGTTGGCCTGCTGGTCTTTTTCTTCTTTGGAAACCTTTCTATCAAAACCAGCATTAACTTTTTCAGCAATTTGAGCTACAGTAGCTTGTCTGTTGGATCCCACCGCACAGACCAGCCTTCACTCCCCGCGTGCATCAATGAGCCTTGGCCACCCGTGACCCTGTCTCCAGTTCAGCACTTTTCCTTCCTTGGCCACTTTTGATAGGTGCTGACCACTGCAGACTGGGAACACCCCACAAGAGCTGCAGTTTTAGAGATGCTCTGAACCAGTCATCTAGCCATCACAATTTGGCCCTTGTCAAAGTCCCTCAAATCCTCATGCTGCCCATTTTTCTGCTTCTAACACATCAACTTTGAGGACAAAATGTTCACTTGCAGCTTAATATATCCCACCAACTGACAGATGCTGTGAAAATGTTATTCATTTCACCTGTCAGTGGTCAGAATGTTCTGTCTGATCGGTGTATGTATATGTTCATGTATCCACACCTCCCTCTATGACACTGTGTCCTCCTATCCCTGTCTGTTTTACTCTGGTGCATTCACCACAATACTTCTTCCCCCCTCTCTCTGAACCTCCACACCCTATACCGCAACCATTTACTATATTGCCTCCATCCCCTCGCTTTTTAAGCTGATGGAATTGTCTCTCTCTGTATTTTGCTGACTGCATCTGTTTCTCCTGCCACTCCAGACTTTAAGTTGTTCATTCATAGCCTTTCTCCCTCTCTCTCCCTTTCTCACTCTACGCTCCCGTCTTACTCCTCATATATCATTCCATCTCTCCCGCCAGCTGACTCACTTACAGTCAAGTCGGGAGGAAGGAAAATGAGCAGAGAGCTTTTGCAAGGGCAAGTAAGAAGTCTCTCACACATGAATGGTTTTGAGTGAACGCCAGCCAGTGACAGCTGAGGTAAATGTCTCCACACAGATAAGTTTATACTACAGAGGTCAGGGAGGTGGATTTAGTCTCCAGCTTGGGTCTCTTTAACATGAAACTCTGAGGAGGTAAAACAATCAGACAGAATATTTATTGATCGGCCTGAGTGAGACTTCCTACAAGCTGAAGGCTAATCTTCCTCCCTCAGCCACTTGGAACTGCCTTCTAAATATTACAGTGTTTGTTTTTTTGTTTTGATCGCTCAGTCTGAACAAAGGTTGGGGAAATGAAATGACTCAGACATGAGTTCTGGGAATCACATTAACTGTTAAATCTCAATAGTTTCCTGTTAAGAAAGTAAAATCCAGTTTTCACATTTCCAAATTACCTTTATGTTGCCATAATTAGTTATGTTATTTATTGTGTCACACACGTACAAGTGCAGCGGATGTGGACACCAAAAAGACCACAATGTTGTGGTAGTAAAACGTTTGTCAGATATGAACATATCTTCTTACATAACACTGCAGACCGAGTACTTTTTCTTCTGTCTCTACAAATAAAATCTGCCACAAAAAAGGTTCCCTTCCTAAAACACAGCTCAAGTTTTTTATTATCATTGATCCAGAAGTAATTTTACTAAAAAGCATAGTCCTTTAATCGTCACATAACATTAAAATGAAAGGGAAACACTTTTTCCGTTTCTGTCTTTTGTTTCACATCTAGTTCTGCTCCTGGTGATGAAGTATGTAAGATCTCAGTTTCTAGATCAAGAAAGTTCCCCTACCTTAATAAAATAAAAAATTACCACAACCTTTCTCTTCAAAAATGTCACAAATATTGAGCTAATTAATTTAATGAATAAAACAACTGTATGTGATTCCAGATTCATTTGGCATAGTCATGTCCATCCCATGTTCTTCTCCAATGGCCAATCCAGTCTTTCTCTCCACTCCTGGCATCCATCCAGCCACAGTTTTGACCCTGAACTCTAAGCCTTTCTTCAGCCATCCGACCTCTCCTGAGGATAATGGCAGAGGTTCTCGCCTATCTAAACTGGCCTCATCAATCATTATTCCCATGCTGTCTGCTCCTGTAGCAGCTTTTGTCTGCATTCCTGGCATATCCTCGGGCACCAATGGCAGATGGGCACGCTGGCACCCTCAGGTTGGAGAGGCACAAAGAAAAACTACAGCAGCTCAGTGGGAATGGGGGTTTCTGACTGGACGTGGTGCTGCCCCAATTACCTGAATGTTCTGTACTGTACTTTATTTTTAGGAACAAGTGTGAAATGATGTGTCTTCATGTCTGTGTATTTATCACCCCAACCTTTGTCTTCCTTTCGCTTCTCTTATTTCAGAAATAGATCAAAAGTCATCAGTGTGTTTTTTGTCTGGATGGTTCAGCATTGCCCAAACAGAGTATTATATAACTGAACTAAAGTCTATTCATCTCCAGTACACACACTGAAAAGCTATTGTCCAAAAGTGCACTACAATGACTTTAATTTAAAACAAACAATTGGATATATTCTACAGTCTATACTACAGGCGACTCTGTGTATAGTGAGGCTACATGCTAACAGCATCATGCGAACAATAACAATGATAACATGCTGATGTTTAGCAAGTATAATATTCACCATGTTAACCATTTAGTTTATGGTGTTATAGTGCTAACAAAATATTAATTAGCACTTAACACAAAGTACAGTTGAGTTACCAAAGTATTGGACAAACTGAATAATTGTGTGTACCAAATGTCATGCCAATCCATCCAATAGTTGTCAAGACATGTCATTCAAAATCACAAATGTCAACTTGCGCTAGAGGAAAAGCAGGAATCACCATCATTTCTTTGCTTTAAATGAATGTTATTTTTAAAATATATTTGTTGGGGGCTTTTCACTCTCTATTTTGATAGGACAGCTAAAGATGGAGAGGAAAGGGAGAGAGAGAGAGAGAGAGAGAGAGAGAGGGGGGATGACACACAGCAAAGGACCACAGGGGGCACTTGAACCCAAGGCCGCTACAACAAGGACTCAGCCTCTGTACATGGGGTGCCAGCTCTACCAGGTGAGCTACCCCTATATGGATGTTTTTCTACATGGTCCCTCATAGATTTAATAGAATAAAAAAGTAAGAATGAAAGTTAAAAAAAGAGTAAACTTAAGACATTATTTGAAAATGTCAAAGTCGTTCTAACAGAGAGGGTTAAACGGTTCAACAGTCTGCAGGCTGCAGTGGGAAACGCTCAGTGGGTTTCAGATTTTAACTGGAAGTGTGGAAGAGAGGAGTAACTGTTTAGAGGATCTAAGGGGTTTTGGAGGAGGAATAGGGACTTAAGAGGTTTCAAATATAAACTAGTGCCAGAAGATTGAGTTTTGTATTGCTGGTATTTTGGATGAGCTGGAGGGGAAACAAGGCCAACTGACTGACTCATGAATTTACAGCAATCAAGATACAAATAGATGAAAGCATACAAAATAAAACGTCTGTAGATCTCTATCATCATGTGTGCTGGATAACAGTCACCCGATGACAGTTATCTTGTCACAACAGCACACACAGCCAGACAACCCCTGGATTACTCAACCCTTTATTACCCTCAAATCCGTGAATCTCTGCTTCTCCTCAACCCCCCCCCCACTCAGATAAAAGACGGCAGTAATTCCTGACACATTTTTGTTCAGTAGCGTTACATAACATTCATCCCAGTCATGCCTTTGATTACACTACAATGAACTCAAGCCCAGTCAATGTCTTAGTAACAGAATGAATTAAAAAAGCTTATGAAAGTTGAGCCCAGTGGAGCATAGAGATTACTCACACAAAACCTCATACGGTCATTATTTCACCTTTGTAGTTTATTAGCTCCTGGCTTGGTGCAGGGGGAGAAGGGAGAGGAAGTGCTGAAGGGCCATGTGCTCTATGCTAATGTATAGTATGCATTATTATGCTTGGAACTGCAGAGCTGAATTTAAGTAATAAGAGCAGCTACTAATCCAGACTGTATACAGGGAGGAAGAAGAGGACGGAGGGAATATGTAGAGGACATGGAAGGGGGGAGGGGGGGTACAATAAAGGAATGGTCAGAATCTACAGAGAGTGAGGTGAAGAGAGAGTGAGGGAGGGAACAGAGGAAGAGGGAGGGAGGCAAGCAGGCAGAGAAGAAGGGTGATGTCACCTCTAACAGGCAGCCAATGAGAGTCAGGGAGGGAGAGAGAGCGGCCGGAGGAGGGTGTGTTGTTCTATCACTGCAGCATCAGCAGAGAGGAAAGGGGCACAATCAATTTCATAGAGAAGAGGAAGAAAAGGCACAAGTAGATAAGGAAGAGAGGGGGGAAAAGGGACGCAAGGAGTTGCCAGAGGAAAGGAACATCACTGTGAAGGTAAGAGGATGTTTTTGTGAAGAGACCGACAGTTTGTCATTAAACAGAAGGAGAGCGGGAGAGAGAGCTGGTGAGCAGATTAATTAGGCTGTTAGGTGGAGGTGGCTTGTTATGGAATCGCACCTTTGCCTCATCTTCCACTGGCAGTAAAAGATGTCAGTCTGGTTCATGTAAATCACTTTAACAGCTCCTTGTTTAAATGCGTTCTCTTTGGTTTTTTATCCTTTTTCCATCACGTTTATTTATGTTTAGGAAAACTATGAAATTAGAGCTATTTCAACACAGTCTGAAAGAACTGTAATTGGACAAATGTCAAAAGACTTTATTTCAGTGGTAGAGGGAGTTGTGAGTAATTTTACATACACTGTAGAAATGCATTACTTTGAAATTAAGGCCAGGTGTCAAGGATAACCTGTTGGTGACGATTACTTTCAGAGAAAATGTTTTTTCTTTTGTTTTCGTGTATTTATGTTGCTGATTGAACATTCAGTCCGTTGAATGCAACAGGGTCTCCTCTGACATTAATATTAAATATACAGCAGTGCTGTGTGCCTTTGCGCTGCCTCACTAAACACTTTATTGGCCAGATTACAAGGTTTACTCTCTAAAATTTTACATCGTGTCACTATCTGTTAAAGTTGGGTTAATATATGATTTATAGAAACATTGGTGCAAATTGGATAAATGTGACTTTTTGTTCCTTTTATTTAATAACTGCGTGTATTAAACTACAGTTTATAGCTTATGCTTTATTATATAAAATATATAAAATATATAATGTAAATATACTTTAAAAAATGTGCATTTTTCTACATAATTATGATCATTTCTCAGGCAAATTATGTGTTTTGCCTCTCCTTCTGCCTTGCTACTTTAATATGAATATTCGTTTTCTCTCCACATTCCCATCCCCCAGCTAATAGCTGAGTGGCTTAATGTTAAGTACAGCCCATGATTGCAATGTGCTGCTATGATTGTCATTGATGTCGAGGATGAAACTCAAGCTGCATGGTGAACAGCATAGCGGAGCAGACTACAACAATTTTCTAGTCTACCAATCTTATCTCCTGCAGCTGCAGTAGGTCTGTTTTGCCAGGGCAATGACACAGCTGAGTAACCTGAAACTACAGACCTTTGAGGGAAAAAGGAGAAGGAAACTAAAAAGAACTGAAAGACAGGAAGAAATTGAGATATCAACAGGAGACAGAGGGTGCGAGAGATATTTATACAGAAGGAGATATCCGGGGAAGTACAAATAAGGGTGGGGCAGTGCTCGCAGCAGACTGTGTAGGTGTGCCCATGAAAAAGAGGCACTCACCTGGCTGTATGCCATACAGCTGCTTGCTGTCACCCTCTGCGGCCTGTTACACATCTGTTCTACCCATTGGCAGAAAATAGACAATGTTCCACTGGTTGTGTTAATGATGTAGAAAACTGTATTGCCAGAAGCAGCTGCTAAAGGCTGTGAGCTTGTTTCGTCTGTGCGTGTCTGGTGTTTTGTGGGTAAGTGTTTCTTTGTGCATCTGCTCATATGCAACCCTGTCCTAAAGATCTGAACAGATTCATATAAAATATGACCACATGAAGAAGACGAAGATACATATGCTTGTGGATACGTACATATCTTTGGGCATCTGCTCATATCATGTGAGTGTATGTGTGTGCTGATGGTGTGGTGAACCTGCTCTCTCTCTCCCTCCCTCCCTCCCTCCATGCCTCAGTAGCCTGCAGCTTGTCCCAGATGAACCCAGTCAAGGGACTGGCAGGGAGGGAAGGAACTGTGCCTGACAATGACTTGTTACCATCTGTACAACATCCATAAACATACTGCACTGCACACATTCACACAATAGATCAAGATACAGCTGCTGCTGAAGCGGGCGTGTTGGAGTGAATGAATGAGTGTCTGTGCGTGTGTGTGTGTGTGTGTGTGTGTGTGTGTGTGTGTGTGTGTGTGTGTGTGTGTGTGTGTGTGTGTGTGTGTGTGTGTGTGTGTGTGTGTGTGTGTGTGTGCGCGTGCGTGTGCGTGTGTGTGTGTGTGTGTGTGTGTGTGTGTGTGTGCGTGTGTGTGTGTGTGTGTGTGTGTGTGTGTGCATCCTCTCCGTGGCAGCAATGCTCCAGAGACCCACTGCTGGTCACATTATCATACTATTTAATGCAGTGGGGTTTGTATGGCAGTGGCGGCCCGGTCTCTATGGTGTTGGGAGCTGCTGGTGTAGCAAAGATGTTGTTGTCAGAGTAGCTGGCCGGACTTGGAGTATATGATTACCCTCGCTACAGTATGGTGCAGAATGTAATCTCCCCTCTGACGCGGGCCAGTTAATTGAGCTGTTCCATCAAAGAGATGGATGGAAACAGGGATTTATGTGAGGAGAGGGAGACAGAGAGACAGGGATCTGTAATGAAAAGAGAGAGAGGCCATGGGAGGATGGCGTAAGCAACATAAAAAAGATAAAAGAGAGGGAGAAGATTCTGGACTCCCTTTTGAAAGGCAAAGCACTTTGCATCCTATAATGCCCGTTCACTGCTATTGGTATCACAGGGAGTAGGGAGAGAGGAGGAGGGATCAACTAGGATATAGAAAAGGGCAAGGTCACAAGGGAGGATGGGCTGTAACAAAAGAAAGAGACAACAAAATGAAGACGAAAAGATTAAAAGGAGGATTTCTAAACATTCTATATACAGATGGTAACTCTGACTATGATTGAAGTAGATTAGGAGAGAAAAGCCCTGCAATATATGCTCATATAGTTACGCTTTTGCTGTATTCATTTTCACGGGATGATAATGTCAGAGACGGGATTTTTTTTCCCAAATGCCTTTAGTCCTGCAGTTGAAGTGGAGAGAGCTGGTGTTGTGTAGGAGGAGAGAACTGATCTGCTCTCAATCTGCCAGTTAGGAGCAACTCCAGGGAAGAGCAGTGCTGCACTGGCCCTTCACTCCTCAGCAACCTGTTACAGCCCCAAGGCAACTTTGTCAGTCATCCTGCTCACCAAACGCAGATATATCAACACACACAGGCATAAACACATCTGTACAGGCACATCTTCTGCTACACACCCAAACAAACGCTCTGCAAATACACACTGCAGAGATCCTGTTGCAGTGCGCCAAATTAAAGATTCTCTAATGTTTCCTGCCTGGCCTGATTACTTTAGTGTCTGCTACAGATCAAAGACCGCACTCACCACGTTCTGGGGATTCAGCCATTAAAGCAGCGACGGGGTAAAGTAAGGGTTAAGAGAGAGAACTGTCTCTTAGACAGAAGTGTCAACAATAACTGTTTCATCTTTGGTTTCCTTTTCATCCTCCTTTGAGAATAATAGTTGTAAAGTTACAAACTCACAAACGCAGATTAAAAGGCTTGTGTGAGCAAACTCCCTTGAGTTATCTTCCAGTGCGTGTGCGTCTTTTCGATGCCCTGCATGTGTGTGTGCAGTTGCATGTGCACCTTCAGGATGCTGTCAAAATGGAGAGACCCCCCCATCCGCCCCCTCACACATACACACACCCTCCCTTGTTGCAGCTTGGAGGCTGTTTGATTTAGACTGTGCAGATGGGAGTCAGCCCACTGGGTGTCAAGAGGGGGATCGTGTAGACATGCTGTCAGGGTTTGGTGGAGAATACATTGTGGTGATTTAGGGAGCTAAGGGTCAGATGGATTGACAGGCCAACCACGGGTAAATGATTATAGAGAATTGAGGAGGAGGGTAGGAGGCCAGCAAAAAGGGGAGAATGAAATTTGCAGAGGTGAAATGAGGCAGGCAAGGAGAAAAACCTAAAGATGGAAAGGATTGATTTAAAAGGCAGCAGGATGGTATAGAGATGGTGGAAAGATAAAGGCCGTTATGGAAGATGAGACAAAGTGGAAGAGAATTGTCATGGCAGTTTCTCTGACCCATCTTACTCCTGTCATCACTTAAGAGTTTTGTTCGTTCTTCTTAGACAGAGAAAACCTTTCAACCTAGGTAATCTATTTTTCCTTTACCGCCTCGATATTTCTATTCTTTTCCCACCATGGTTTCACTTGTCGTATCAGTATTCATGCAGTTGTGGTCAGAGAGGGTCTTAATCAAAATAATGACTGAGGCTCCTATTAGCTTTCCCAGAAAGAGGCTCTCAAACAAAGACTCATAAATCCAACCCTATTATACAATTGAACCTGTGAAGGAGACTCGGGCACAAATAGAGGCGTCATGTATGGAAATTAATTTAATTTGGCAGAGTGAATTACCTTATTACAGCTTTCAGAAGTGATGGTATGAGAGAAGAGAATTTGTAGAATTCCCCTGGGTAGAGAATATGATATTGGCGGTTAAAATTACAAAACTGGACCCCCATAGTGGATATTACTTCGAGCCTGGAGAGAAATTAAATACTGCCAAACCAATAACGAATTTGGAGGCGCCAGATATTGTGAAAAAAAAAATTCTTAAAAAGAGGGAATTTAAAAAAAACCCAACCCATTCTTTATTTATCACTTTATGTTATTATCATGGTGCAAACAAAATGTCTAATTCTGTGAATGTATTTTCTTCGGTGAATTGTGAATTGTTTAAAATTAAGAACCAGACTGGAAAGCGGCAAAGCAATAAAGCTACAGAGAAGACTGAATATGAATTAGGGGAGATATGGAGCTCCATGTCTGACCCTCTCTGTGTCTCCTTGATGCTGTCCTCATCTTTTTTCAGTCGCTGACAAAATTATCTCTTTGTCTCAGCAAAACAGAATTCCCCTTAGCGTCACTCCATCTGGACCACAGTCAGCTCTATCAAAGAGGCTTTATTGTCCATATTAGCAACTATAATTGGCCTAAATTGACCCTCTGTCCAGTGTGTTTCCCATTTGTATCTATGAAGGGTTCTGTTGATTGTCAAAGATGTTTCTCTGTGCATTTGTGTGCGTGTATGAGTCATCATCAACTGTGGCCAGTATGAAATGCCCTCATGAATAAATTATCTGTACATAAAATACCAATGTTGGGTTATTACTTTTCATTT